TTATTATTTTATTTAAAAAATACTAAATACAATTAAATTTTCCAGGCAAATTTGCCTAGAATACGGTTTAAGGGATAATAATTTTTTATTTAATATTAGATAAAATTTTTATTTAAATAAAGAATTTTTAATTGTCACTTTCTTTATATTGTTATTAGTATTAATAGTAAAAAGGTTAAAACGATATTAGATACAGGGTATAACAAAAAAACGATGAAAAAACTTGGATTAAAAATACAAAATAAAGAAAATGGATATTCATCAGATGCATTAGGTAATGATATGCAAACATATAGAACATTAAAAGAATATATAAAAATCGATAATGTTAAAATACTAATTAAATTTGATATATACCAGTCTAAAGAAGAAAAAATTTTATTAGGTACAGATTTTTTTAAAAAACTCGAGCAAAAATGTATTATGATAAACAAGTTTTGTATATGAAATATAATGATAAAAAATTTAGTATATGTTTTAGTATTAAAAAATAGCTTTAGTTTTTATTTTTTTATTTTTTTTATATAACTTTATTATTTATATTATATATTTTAAAATAAAATATTTATAATAACATAAAATATTAAAAAGAAATTATACAGACGCAATTTTTATCAAACTTAAAAAAGAAACAATATAAATTTTTATACTAGAATAGACAAATATTTAATAATTTTTTATAATATAATATATTTGCCGATCTTAGTATAAAAATTTATATTGTTTCTTTTTTAAGTTTGATAAAAATTGTGTGATTATTATTAATAATTACATTTAAAAATTATTCTTTTTATAAATATAAAAATTTATATTGTTCTTTTTTGGATTAATAAACAAATTTCTGTTAAAATTTTTTTATTTTCTTTTTTTTCATTTCTTCTCAATTTACTTTTTTTTGTAAAAAAGTTAGTATTTTTTTTGTTTTTTTTTGTTTTTCTTTTCTATGATAAAAAAATCTGCAGTAGTCTAAAATACACCAACTCCAACCAATTAACAAAAAAATAGTTTGTAATATTTCTTTTTTCTATTAGTAACTATTTTTTGTTATCTGGTTAGCAATGTTATTTTAACATTTTTTTCTTTTTTTTGGCCGGTTCTCTCTTTTGTGTTTCAGACTTATGAGAAAAATTTTTATTTTTTTTGTTTTTTTTAATAAGTACTAACTTTTTGTTATTTTTTAAGTATCTTTAGTAAACAATATTGATAATATAATCAAAAAAAATCACGAAATTCATGGTTCACTTTTGCAAATAAGAAAAAATATTAATGAACAAGATTCCAATACGAATCATGCGATTATATTAAAGCTTAATTTGAAAAAATTAAGCTTTCAGTTAAATGTAAAAGAAATCAAACATTATATAATACAGTCATAATTATGAAAAAAGACTGTGAAGAATTTAAAGACAAATATTATAAATTAAAAACAAAGTATAATAAGATAGTAGAATTATATAGTGAATTACTACCTAATGATGAATAATTTTTTAAAAAAAAATTGTATTTTTTTGTATTTTTTATTTTTTGTATTTTTTTTTAAAAAAAAAATTTTTATTTTAATAAATAAAAAACAAATTTGTGCTTAATTAAACTTAATGATTTGGATAAGTACGCTTATTAAACCCTACTCTCCTACAAATACTACATTTAACTTGTCTTTTGTTTTGTTTTATATTTTTTCGTTGATGATTACCAACTGCTATATGAGTACATTTATTAAAGCCAACCATATCAACATTGTTTTTCTTACAGATTAAACAACGAGGTTGTCTTTTTTGTTGTTGTTGCGTATTTGTAGAGACAAAAATTAATAAAACCAAAAATAAAATAATAATTTTGCTTAATTTCATACTAAAATAATTAATTAATTAATAAAAATTACAAAAAAAATTATAAATTTATATGTAATAATAATACATACTTTATTTTTATTTTTTTTATTTTTTTTAAAAAAAATAAAAAAATACAAAATATTTATATAATTATTAAAAAAATATTTAAATTATTTAGAAGTAGAAAGTTTTTGAATAGGCAGTTGATTTTTTAATAAATTATCAACATCTTGAGGAATTGATTCTAAAAAATCTTGTGTTTTTTCTAATACTTCTTTATATTTTTCTTTTACTATTTCATAATTAATACCTCCGCTTATTAAAAGTTTTAATTTATCTGCTAAATTTGTTGCTAAAGTATCAATATTCAATTTTTTATTAATATCTTCAAGTTGTTTCTTTATTTCTTTATGTAAAGTATCATTTTCTTGTTTTAATCTTGTATATGCTCCAGTTAATTCTCCAAATTTTTTAACTGCAAGGTCTCTTTGTGACCTAATTTTTTATTAATAAAAAAAAATTTTTTTAAAAAATAAAAAAAATAATATATTTTTTTTTAAAAAAATAAAACATACATTTTAATATTTTATACAATAAAGATCGAAACTATAAAAAAAATTTAAAATAAAAAAAAACAAAAACAATAATTAATATATCATTAAATAAAATTAAGTAAATTCTGTTAGGGTGGTTTGTTTGTTAACAATGATTCCATATCCAGAACGATGCTTGGTAAAAAATTCTAAATCTCAGCTAATACTTCTGTACATGCTTCTTTTGTCTTTTTTTTAATTTTTTCATAATCAACTCTACCTTCTTCAATATTAATATCATCAAGCTTATTACTTATTTTTAAAACCACATTATCAAAATTTTTTTAACAGAATTATTAAATCCTTCGATAGCATTTTTCTAATGTTCATTTTCTTGAATTAAACTTTGATTTTGTTTATAAATTGCAGTATAAGCTTCTTTTAAATGACTAAATTCACTAATTGCTTTATCACATATTTGATTATTATTATTTGTTGGTGGTGTAGATACAGATTGTTCAGGTTCAGATTGTTCACTCTTTTTTTTTTGAAAAAAATAAAATACCTTTATTTTTTTAAAAAAATAATGTTAAAAATTTTTTTTTAAGAAAAAATAAACTTTAAGTATAATTTCTAAACTCAATTTCTCTTTTATCACAATAAAAAATTTTACAAACAGTTACAACATATAATAATGTATAAATTGACCCAACATTTGTATAAACCCAAAATATTAATATACTAAAAACAATAGTATGAAGCTATCAATTATAATCATACAGATCTTGTATAATTCCAACCAAAATAATACTGCAACAAAAATGCGCAATAATTGTACAGATAACACTATTATCCCTTAAACTGTAGGCTTTTCCAGGCAAATTTGTCTAGAAAATTATCATAAATATGGTTATGATCTATTTTTTTTAAATTTTAATATATTTAAATAAA